AGTGTAGTTTTTGTACGTTTGTTTCTCTTCGGAAACCGAATCTTCATGCGTGAAACTTTGTGTGCTGTTTCCAGTGATCACAACTGACACATTCATGTTGGGAAAGAATGCAAGAATTTCCCGCGAAGGATTCCTTTAAATATCGGCTCTGTTCTTCATTTCAAACTCAGTTGTGTCCCGGCGGGCGCCGTGCCTCCCTTTTCTGACTGATTCGCCTCCGTTGTGCTCACTCCCACTTTTGAGGTGAACACCTCGTGGAGAGCACGCATATGCATAAAAAGTATCGTATAGCGGACTGCCTTAGCAGTCGTAACATTAGAGTGGATTTCAACACTGACTTTAACCTCGAGATGAAGGCCAATTGGTTTGGCTATTCCATCTTCAATCCCCGCTCCTTGGATTCTCCTTCAGGTCCGACGACAACGTCACTGTGAGCGTTTGAAACACTACAGTTGGAGGGCCATACATCATATCATCACGTTATAATGGTGCTTCAACACTGAACTTGACTTCAGAGTTAGTTCTATCAGCGATCGCTTCCCCTCCATCCACTTCTCCCCTCCTCATCCCTCCCCTAATTGCTGCACCATGTGGAATAGCAAAGACTATGTTCAAAGGGACATGTCATCACAGAATACAGATATCGCAAACCCGGCGAGCTCCGCACTTCGTTGGTTGGTTTTTTTTCAATAGTTCCCGAACATACACTTCATATCTCTACTAGTCATGTCTATGAAATTCACGCGGCGGTCGCCGCATTTGGCAGCAGGGTCAACCGTCACGTTGGACCAATTTCGAAAATTTTACGACCCCCTCCCCTTCTAGAGGGCCTCGATACGACCCCCTCAGGGTCAACCCTTCACGACCCCCTCCACCACCATGAGACTCAGGAGGCTCCCGCAATACAACCACCCTTCTTCCTACCCTGACCACCACCCTCGCCATCATGGCTGATTCTATAGTATTTGATTCAGAGACCAGTCGACACAGCGCAACGACACAGCCCAACTCCCCCACTGTATTATGATTCAGCTGATAAGAGAATAAAGTGATGCACGCTTTAGAAAAATTTATCAACAGCTCTCCTTCGGTGATTCGGATTTCGCCTCA